AATTGTGGTTAACGTATAGCATCGCTGTGTGTGAGTAATACCCCAATTGTGGTTAACGTATAGCATCGCTGTGTGTGAGTAATACCCCAATTGTGGTTAACGTATAGCATCGCTGTGTGTGAGTAATACCCCAATTGTGGTTAACGTATAGCATCGCTGTGTGTGAGTTGTTTATAATGAGATTAATTATGATAAATGTCTTAATTAAAACTTTTAAGTAATAAAAATGCACTTAAAATGATTTTTAAAATTGTAATAACACAGCAATATTGTAATGTTATAAACGCTTAATTTTTTTATTCATTAAATAAATTCAATTTTCCTTAAATTCACAAATGTTTTGTTATTAAGTATTCTTATGAATAGTGGCGGAGATGTCTGTAAAGACGGATATATCGAATCAAACACTAAATTACACAATTATTTTGATAAAAAACAAATATTTATAAAATTATTGTTTATATGCAGACAATCAATGGTTTACTAAATATTTGTGACAATTTATTCATAATTTATATCTGCATGCATTGTCTCCATTAATGCTCTAATAGTGTTATAATTTATTTATTAAAGCAATATAAAGATATATCGAAAGATTCATACAACACTTCAAATCAAATAATAATTACAAAATTAGTCTTAAAATATGTCAAAGAAATGGCAAAAAATGTTTCAATAAATCATTTTATTTGTAAAGTATTTGAGATAAGATTGAGATTTGATAAACAAATTTTGGGGCAAACATTGGATGAGATATGTGTTCAAACGGGTCGGGCGTTACTCACTCCCAGTCTCGGTAATGGTAAAAGCATTGAGATAGAACTCTTTGATCAGGTATGTTTGGGCTTGGCGTAGTGGCTCGGGCTGTTGGTTGTGATAGGCCTCGAGGTAAAGCCCGCGAATGTGCACATAGTTGACGATCACGTCGTCGACCCGAACGTAGCGGACTTTATTGGCGTTGTATTGGGCCGGAAGCCGAACACTTTTTAGGGCTAGTCGTATGCGACTCTCGGCATTGTCGTCATATTTGTAACTTAAAACGAAAGTCACGTATTGGGTCTCTTCGAAGCGAACCGTAGCGTAAGCCATAAGTACAGTAGTAGACGAGTCCGCCGATGATCACAACCGTCACTCCAATGGCCAGCAATGTCTTGGCGTAGAGACCGAAGTACTTTCGCGGCGGACCTCTGCTTCCGGATAAGGTTTTGGACACCTTTGCCACCGATTCAACACTTTTTGTCTTTGATTTCTATTTGTTTCTAACAGTAATAACCGATTCTTTAACTGTATTTTTCAAAAATTATTTTTGAAAATCATTTTTAAAAATCATTGCGCAAAACAATGTAAAACTTTTTTGAAATTATTTTTATAAATTATATAATTGACTATTTTAAATATCAGTCATATTTCAGACAAAGAATCAGTTTTTCCTAATGTTTGGCACAAATAATAGACTATTTAACGAATCATTAGATTTTTGAAATCAAAAACAAAGTAAAACTTTCTCGTGATTTATAATTTGTTTTTAAAATATAGTGTTTTATAAACAGGACTTTCGATAGACTTGTAGTTTATTTTCATTATAAGAAATACATTTTTAAAACTTATGTAAAAAGAAAAGTTATTTAAGGTTTAAATAAATGTAGACAAAAATGAGACTTATTTTTCATTTTAATAATTTAGTGATTATTTCAAGAATTAAAAACTGGTTTTGAATGCATTTGAATCAGACGTTAGGTATTCTTCTCTTATATCTATCGACTTTCAAGTGAAGACCATTTATACAGAAACTATTATTACCAGTCGTTGCGCTCATTATTGTCTCAACACTTGTTTTGCTGAAGAATTGGGAACAAAATCATTGAATTAAATAATTAATCAATAATTCAATAATGAATTCAAAGCATACGAATCGAAATGAATGAAAGCAAATGAGACACCAGTCCTGTCGACAAACTTTGTGGACAACACTTTGCCGTAAGTCTCGAAATGAGACACGAAATCAGTTTTGGGATATCCTATGGGAATGTTTGCGATGAACACAATGTTAGACTCGCACACATCCAACCAGTCTTGGGATCCGATTATTGTGATGCTTTGCTGACCAACGAATTTGATGGCATTCGTGGCGCTATACTTCTTCATCCACTCGTTTGGGTTCGAGTAATACCTCTCAAACTCTGTGTCGATGTCGGGACACACGTAACAGAACTGCTCTTTAATGGCTTCGGCCGTCGCTAACAACTGAGTCGGAGGAATAGCGGACTCGCGTTCGCGCAAAACGTTTTGTACGTATAAAGTGATGTGACGGCCGGCGATAGGAATGTGTTGAACGCATCTATTGATCACATAATAGTTGTCCACCACTGGTGTGCAATGTGTGCCGCAATCGCCCGATTCGATGATAATGCCGGTGGACTCGCGTTCGTCCACTTCTTGTGCCGCCCACGAGGCGATCAAAGCCAGCACCGGCTGTGCGGCGATACAAAGGCCGGGAACGTTGAACGACTCGAACATCATTTCGGCCATATATTCGCGATTCTCGTGTGTATTGAGCGGTGGATCCGCCACCAGGAAGTAGTGATCTTCCGGTTTAGTCTTTAAGTACTTGTAAATACACTCTTCCCAATACATCCTCATTAGGTCCCAGTCCTCCACAACGCCGTGTTGTATGGGATACTAATCGGGTGTAAGCGTGGGGTCAATGAGTGGGTTAGGGGTGGGAATAGGAGCGGACAATACCTTCACGGTATGCGCCGATTGGTTGAGCGCCTCCTCACCGATGGAGACGTCGACACCAATGGTCAGGCGTCTGGAGGTGTGATCGCCAACATTGGGCTCCTCTTTGATGGCAACGGCCGACGGGATTACGAACTCAGGGCTATGATCGCCGGCGTAACCCAATTTGGTGTACCTGTCATTCATAGGGTGGACGTAAATATGTGATAATGTGATCATCACTGAATACCCGGTGCCGCTGTCGATGACAATCGCTGGCAAACGTCCGGCCATTGTATGTGTTGTTCACAAATGTATAGATAATTGAATTGAATTTAAAGACCAGTTGTGCTAAACGTCACACCTATTAGTGAATACTGTATAACATTATAAACACAATAATTTGCATAAATATTCAATATTTTCATAAATTATGTTTAAAACAAAACTTTAATTAAAATAAAAGTTTTAAAAGTTTTGATAGAATTAATGCTTAAAAGTGTTGTCAATAGAGAGAGCAGTCATTCAGTGATTGCCTTCACTTTTGAGCACATGTTTTGTGTTTGGCTTTCAATTCATTTGTTGTGAAAATTGAATTCATTTTATGATTAGTTTTATTAATTAGTGTTTGTTTTCGTCATTTAGTTATTAATTGCAATCAATATATCAAACAATGTCTGCAAATAAGAGAAGAGTTGTTCTCAGGAGTGACACAAACATCAGTCATATTTCTTCAAGAAGTGGAACAAACACCAGAAGAATCACTTCAAAGGGTAGCGAAAACACCGGAAGAATGCCTTCGATATGTAAACCAAATACCGGAGAAATGTCTTCGAGAAGTGATTCAGTGAAGAGACCATCGGAACCATCGAAAGACAGTTTTGATAGATTTGGTGATGATTTGTGTCAACACTTATTGTCTTATCTCTCATTTGAAGACCGATTCAGATATGAATGTCTGTCCAAACAATGGCAGCGAAGAGTATTCACCGCACAAACGGAACTCAAATTTTATGATAACTCTGTTTATGGTTTTGAAATGAATGCAAAAATACTTAAATTAATTGTGAAAAAGTGTGAAAACATTAAATCAATAGAATTCAGAGAATCTGATTATCTATTGAATGAATTCAATTATAACTCAATTATAAAACATTGCAAACATTTGAATGCCATTCATATGTGGGAAACGGAAAAAGTTGGCGTTTTTAATAAATTGTTGGCAAAGTTTGGCAAACAATTGAAATCAATTGGATTTGAAGAAAATAACAATAATTTGGTCAAAAATGTGAAATTATGTCACAATTTAATACATATCGATATAATTAACGATTCATTGCATTTATTAAGTAATAATGAAAATAACATTTCATTTCCAAGACTACAGAAAATTACATTTTATTTCACCGATAAATGTGTGGAAAGTATCGATAGTTTTGTGAATAACTATAAAAATAGTTTGAAATCAATTAATGTTGTGATAGAAAGCAATGACAAGAAATCAGTGGAAATACTAATGAAATGTTTGTCACAAATGAATGCATTAATTGATTTGAAAATTAGGTTTTACCACAGGAATGAAGTTGTGGTGACTTTAATTGTGAATCAATTGAAACAAATTGGTATCAATTGTCCGAAACTCAAGAGATTATCATTGGATGTGTCCATTGAAGAGGAATCCAATAGTAATGTCTTAATGCAAACAATTAATGAATGCTTTACACAATTAAAACGATTAAAAATTTCTGGCACTTCTTGGGAACCGTTTATTATCACAAAGAAATCGCTGAACAAATGCAAACTTTTAACACATTTAAACATCCGTTCAGTGAATGTATTGTTTTTCAAAAATATTTCACAGTATTTCCCAAAACTTGAGTACATTTGCTGCCAATTAACTAATTTCCGTCTCATAAGTGCTGAACCATTGGATTCATTGACAAAATTGTCACATTTAAGGGAGATTTCAATCTTTGGTCTCCGAGAAGTTACACAAACCGTTTGCAACGATCTCCGCGACAAATGTCCTAAAATTAGTTCAATTAAATTAAGGGATTATTATTAATATATTAGTGTTAATGTAGGCATTAAATCAATAATTAAAATGCAATTTTTTTATTAAGATTATACTAATTATTAATTTGTAATAAAATGTTGTTTAAATGCATTATTCGCACGATTTATATACTTTTCATTGTATTTGAATTCAAAAACAATTCAGTTATTTATTGACAAAAAGTGAACACAAATTGTATTGAAAAACAATTCTATTGGTTTTCACTCTGTATCTCACCTGAATTCTACTCGATACTAAATCACAACTCAATAATGTTCTCAAAAAGCACTAAAATCTCTGATTTGAGCCAATATTTCGGCGAAGACTCGACTTTTTTCTTCGTCGAAGACATCGGCAACACTTCCATCGCTTTCGGCAAACGAGGGATCGTTAAACAAATTGAGGACCACTTTTGGTCATCGGATCTCTCATTAGTCGCGTATAACATAAATATAGAGCACAAGACACTGACTGCGAGTCCGCAGACCACAGGAGGGGACAGTTGTCTGACTTCGGGGACGACTGTTGTGGCGGTCGTAGTGTTTGGGACTATAAAAGCCATTCACTCTAACGAAGACATCGAACTCACGAAACTGTTGGGACAGAAGTTCAGCCAAACATTCCTTATGTATCGCATCGACGATAACATGGCTTACATTAAGACAAGTGTATTGTCTTATGTGACCACTTCTGGACCACTTGTCAGACAATTGGAGGCACCGGTGCTCTACTCGACACCCGTTCCCATACTATCGTTGAGTTCAATCGCAGAGACACTGAACTCGAAGATCAATCCGGAACTGGAGTTCGAGACGATTGTCAAGAATATCGACAAATTGATGAACGAATCCAACGATTTGGACGCAGAGGTCGGACGTAAGACAACTGATTCTCAAACGAAGACTGATTTAATGCCGATATCACTGAATGAGCTGTTCGTCGATTCGTGTGTTTGTCGGGACAGTGGGGTTG